TATCTATCTATCTATCTATCTATCTATCTATCTATCTATCTATCTATCTATCATCTATCTATCTATCATCTATCCATCCATCCATCCATCCATCCATACGTACGCTTGGTTTTTCCCAAGATTATGTCAACAAATAAGATACTTGATATGGTACTGGACTTTGTCTTGCCCGATTCCAAAATTCAAAGAAATTGTGACTGTAATCATAAAAAAGGAAGTCTCTTATGTGGAAGAAAGATTGTTACAAATTTAGACAAATTATTAAAGAGTTGCATTAACCGCAAGGTCCTACAAAAGGTTCCCATTTGTAACATGTGACTGTAAAAGCTGGAACATTAGACTGAATGAAGAAAAAAAAAACATACTGTTGAATTGCATTTCTTGAAAAAATTATTGAGAATAATACCTTAGTCCCCAGGAAAAGAAAATGATTCATTAGTAGATGAAGTACAACCAGATTATTGTTTGAAGCACTAATAATGAAGCTAAGCTTCAATGTTTCTGATACTTAATGAAATGGCAAGAGTCATTATAAAAGATCATGACACTTGGAAAAATCAAAGGCAACTCAAAACAGAGAAAAAAATGTGACTTGATGCAATCACAGTGACAAGAACCTAGTGAAGTAATTGTTGATCATTAGTGTGACAAAATGATGTCCATCAGTTAAGAAAAATAAAAAAAATAGAAAATTAAAAAGTTACTCTCCCCCACCTTTGGAACAATGTTCCTGCAGAAGTTAGGCCTTCTTTTTCTGTAGTTGGCAATTCCTGCCCAAGCAATTTTATTATAAGACTCACCTATGTGTGAGTTGGGTGGCTATATAAATCTATTTAATAATTAAAAATAAACACAAAACTTGAACCCCAAGAAGCAAAAACTGATAGAAACTTCATGTTACATCTGGAATCATCCAGAAAACATGTTGAAGTATTGTATGCTTGATTTTCCCATCATCCCAATTTGAAAGCAACAGATAAATTTAGAATACAGAGTAATCTTGGGATCAGATGAGTTTTTGCCAACTCACTTTATTCAACTCAACCATTAAATCTGACCTCCCAGTTCTGTCTGGGTGTCAAGTAGGCAGAACACAGAATAAATAAAATCTTCAGAATATTGCTGGTAACCTATGGGTAGTTCTCTATTTCCTAGCTCTAGTTGCCTTTCTTGACCAGTGAAAGAGGAACAGGAAACAAGAAAGGAAATGCCATTCCTATTCACCCTTCGAGAAAGCTCAAATTTTAAATCTAAATTACTAGTATGAGCATTTCCTTTTTCCTGTACTTAGAAATAGATGGTATAATTATATTGCCTTTGACACTACTTCTTATTTACCAGCAATGAAAAATGGCATTTGAGCTTTATTTCCTGCTGATGGTTTAACAACTACTTTTTGTCCTTTTTAAAGGTGGTTGTTCAGATTATTAATGTATTTTAATTACTACACTGTAAATTGCTGCAAAAGCATTAATTAAGGATGACATGCATATAAACACATTAAAAAAGTGGTCACAGGGAAATAGGTTTCTACAAATAGAAAGAGTCACCCCTTAAAGCCTGTCCTCATTAGTAGTCCTTAGCAGGGTTCATTTTTTATGGTGGCAATAGAAAATGTTGCTGGCATAATAATGCATTATCTTGACAATCTCTATCCTCCTTTGTGTTTGTTGGCCTTGCTGGGGTTTTGTGATTTAGAAAACAGTGGGATAAAGCTGTGTAAATCATGGTCTGACAAAGGTCACCCTTGTAGGAATAGGGACAAAACTCTGGTTGCTAGGCTGTTCTACTGATGCTGTAAATAACTAATAAAGGAAGGTTCTGAGATGTAATTTTGCATGTACTACTGACAATATCAATTTAAACACAGGATCTATTTGCGTTATGCTTTGGCCTGAATAATTATTTTGGTTTGAAAATTTATGGATTGAAGAATTGCTGTGTTGCCATGAGGACAAAAGCCAGTGAAATTACTGCTAGGTTCCTACTTTGTAGTAAACCATAATTTTGTCACCAAAGCTTTATTGAATGATATAGGGTCCACACAATCTTTCTGTGTATTTTATAAATCACCAAAACTATATTATATTATATATTATATAAATATATATATATATAAAATATATATCGCATGGCGATATGGTGTGATATGCAAACACAGTGCTGTGTGTAAAAGCTCATACATGTTCTGGTAATATATTATCTAGGCAATAGTAAGAAGTCACCTTAGTTCTCCTTGGGTGAGGGAAGCATTTTGCATTAAAAAAGAGAAAATGTGATTCTCAACTAGAAGTTTCATGTCATTCTGAATGCTTCCTCTAGTAGCTGGGAGAGATTTTTGCACATCTGTGCAGCTAATGTATTGGTTGCTGCTGTTGGTTGTATCAGAACATATTACTTTACCATACCTACATTAACTCAAGAAATTGGTATGAAAAGTGTTTTTCTTATCCATACTGTTCCAGTTTTGCTAAGGAAAAATAGTATATATATATTTATATTTTATACTCATGGTTTTAAAATAGAGTGATTTTCTGACTTAATCCTAATCCTATCAGAAGTTTGATGTTAGCATACAAAATTGTCAGCAGACACATGAGAGAAAAATCTGTCAACTCAAACCATACAGTAATTGTAATCTTCATCAACTCTGAAAATTGCGATTTTTTTTTATTATGGAATTGCAATAATAAAGAAAACCTCATTTATTTGATTTCTAGCTTGCTTGGCATACAAATAGAGGTGGCTTCTCTGAAAAAGAAGTTGGCAAATCTACATATTTTAAAGTTGCCAAGTTTGAAAAGGACTGGTATACAGGAATTCTAATGAATGCATTCAGGAGCCTTTGAAATTCTTGAAGCTATCTAAAAACCTCTTGGCAAATTTGCATGATATACAAATAGTTTACTACTTTAAATGTTTTTCTTCTCATCCTTAAAATTACAGTATGTACCAAAGCCTTCAAAAAGTTACGACATCTCTGAAGCTGCAGGCTTTGGTGCTTAGTAATTTACAAAGATAGCCAACATTATTTCTGCTTATTTACAATCCAAAATCATGACCCTTCTCTAGATGTCATCATAAACTTCATTTGGAATGCTGTGAGATGATAGCAGAAGGTAATAATGATGAAAGGATAACAGACCAGAAAAATCATTGCAGCTGGGGATACAGAAGAACAGGAAAGACTCATTGTACTTCATTATAGCAGACATTTTTAATTAAAAAAAAAGTGGGGTGATAATGGCAATTCTGCAATGAATTGTATGGACACTTTCCTTTTCAATCCTCTAGGTTCATAACTCTTCCATAAGAATTAAGGTTAAATATTGGAACACAGCACCAGGGTAGAAAGGTTAGAGTAATAATGGACAATTATTTGACAATTATTTTACTAACTGCACAACAAGCATGCGGGACCTTTGTAATACAGAGAGGTTTCTTTTACTTGACAAAGTACTTTTCTTCTTTCCTATTTGTCCACTGAAAGCATGGTCCAATAATGGCAATGCAAGAAAAATCTCACATTTCTCAGCTCCTAGCCGTTTTTTTTTCTTTAGCAAGAGCAAGAGCATTTAGACTTATATACTGCTTCACAGTGCTCTCTCTAAGAGTTTACTGAGTCAGCATATTTCTCCCAACAACCTGGCTCCTCATTTTACCGACCTCAGAAGAATGGAAGGCTGAGTCAACCTTGAGCCTGGTGAGATTCAATCTTCTAAATTGCAGTCAGCTGGCAGTCAACAGAAGTATCCTGCAGTACTGCAGTACTCTACTCTAACCACTGTGCCACCGCAACTCTTTACTGTTTTAGTACTTGAAACTCTGAAATTGTTGAATCTCATTTTGAATTGGCCCATTATATGTGGGGAGCCAGTTTAGTACTTTAGATCAGACTGGAAAATGTAGGTAGATGCATAAAATTTATGCATGCTTGATATACTTTACTGAGCAGTAGCAAGGCTACAGAACACAGCCCCATGTTTGAGTGAGGTAGTGTAGCTCCACTCCTTAATGAGTTGTAACAGCCAAGGCCTCCATTTAGGTTCCAATACCTTTAATTTGTCAGCAGAGCATAATTAAAAACCCTATGACATAATTATGGCTTATTTAACACTGTGAAAGCTTATTACATTTTAGCATTATATGAACCAGTCCACTATGGTAGGGCTACAATATCCATATGGTTTTACTCAATTTAATTGGTATGGTCATTTTACTAATTACTAACAATAAACTAACATATCCACGTGGCAAACATCCAAACTTCAACCAGATAACAGCAAAAATGACATCAGTTTTCCTTACTTTTTGCCATCTGGATATCTGCCACTTAGACCTGGCTGCCCAAACTATGGCTAGTTTAACAGATCATGCTTTATTTTATTTTTTATTTTTTAAAAAAACCTGTTTAATTTGTGCATTAACCAGGATAACGGGCGAGTCTTCATGTTTATTAGAATTATCAGTAAGTCGATGAAGGAGAAAGCAAAGTTCAACATTGCTTCTCCCCATCAAAATGCGCTCCTGGTGGCAAGCAGTATTTCATTTAATTATATGACAATCCCAACCACGTGATTTGTTTTTACGCCTCATCCAGGTGGTCCCTTCTTGTGGATCCTGCAGGGTGCTCGCATCTTTTGGTCTGATAATATGTCATATATTTTGTCTATTGCGGTCTTTGCACTTCTGTTCGTCCCACAGACTGAAATAGCTCAAAAGACTCCCCCGCTCCCTATTTCCTCCTCCGCCCCTTTTGGAAACCATCCTCTTCAGCCTGTTAGGACCGGGGCGTCTGATTCCCAAACGCTGCCTGATTGATGGGACCATTTCACGCGCCCTAGACGGGAGGGTCGTGTCTTTGCATGCAAAATAGACCAGGTTCTTTGGAGACGGGCGGAGAAACCTCGGGGTGGGGAGGGGGATTCGCGATTCTAAGCCGCCCGAGTGCCCGCGAGGCGGCGGCAGTAGCAGCGGGGATAGGCTTTCATTACGCCCTCCTGTCGAGTTGAGAAGGTGGGGTTTTGCCTTGGCGAGGGCGGGGCTCCGAGGAAGGCCGAGCACGGTGCGGGGACGGGACAGGAGGGCAAGGAGCAGGTCGAGTTTGGAGCGAGCGCCTGGAGCGCGCGGGAGCAACCGGTGGGAAGTGTTTGGCTGCGCCGAAGCTCGGAAACTTTGCCAGTCCTTTGCCGCCGCCTTTACTTTGGTGCGGTTCCGATGAGGTGAGTTGGATGGGTTTCATAGGGGAAAGGTTAGACTTGACCCGAGAAGGGGAGGGGGGCTTGTGTATGTTGATATTTTGGCGGGAAAGACGCTTGGGCTTCCCTAGTTGGGAGACAAACTGGCAGGACCCCCCCCCCTTTTTCCCGCAGAAAGTTTCCCTAGCAGCCGCTGCAGTTAAAGGGATCTTGAGGGGGAGGGGGGCTGAATTGGTGATTGTAAACACGGTGCTTCTTCCATCGCTGAGCATGTTGATTGAGGGTGGGGTCTTACAATCCTCTAGAAGACTTACTGTAGGGAATCATGTCAGTGCTCTTAAGACTGCTAACGGGAACAGTGAGCTGGTATGCGAGCAGTTACAGAGGAATGCACAATATAGGAATTACACTCGTGCTTCTGCTAGGAGTGAGAGTTCAGAATTTTCTTCTTAAAGGTGCAGTCTGCTTAATTCAAAGGCTTCAGAAGGATTATGCGTCCTGGAAGGACAAAAGGAGGAAATAATAATAATCCTTCGTTTCAGATACTGTTCACTTCGAGGGATCGCGCACAGAAGGCTTCTCCCCTCCTCCTCCTTGTGCTTCATTATGTGTCATAAACTCAGCCAAACATTATCAAAGAGTGCTGATTCAGAACTATTGCAAGTGTATTATGGCCTACAGTTGGATTAATGGGGATGCTGAAATTCTTGTTTGTTGTCCTTCTTAATGCTAACTGTGTAATGTTGTAATCCTCAAAACAGGCCTGGCCTTTCTCAGCCTCAGGCTAAGCAATTGGGTAAACAGGCATTCTTGAGCATGGAGTTGTTGGAGCAAAACATAGTTCTTAACCCCCATTTTAAGTATTTTGGAACAAATGTCTAAAAGCAAAATCTTAGCTGCTGCTATCTTTTGCTTTTAAAAACTAATGTTGTGTAATAAATATACAAGTTTGTAAAACATTCCTAGACTTTGTACAGTTCTGTTTATCAGATTGGGGTTCTGCTGGCAGGAGGCACAATTTAATAAACTTTGCTGCTGAACTGCAATCTTGTACATGTTAGCTCAAAAATGAATACCCTGGAGTTCATTGATGCTTTCTTCAATGTAAATTTATGAAGGATTTGTTTTCTGGGAAAGGAGGTGAAATTTGTGCTGCTCTGCAGCATGTAATGCCATTATTCATTGTTGAAACAGTTTGGGAACAGGTTTGTCATACAGTAGCTTCTTCCTTAGGATTCCTTGTGGACATTTTGGGGTATATTTTAAGGTATCTCCACCTGTTCTGGGAGGCACTGTTAGGCTTTGTACAAACTACCTATTTCCTTAATAACCCTGAAATATTTGCATAATTGTTTCTGAAATATGGATTGGTGGTGCTATTGAGTGAGATTAGATTTGATGAAAAAAAATTACTCCAGACTGCATAACTATGAAACCTACTATGAAACTTTAAAAAAATATTTTTCTACAGAATTTGTGATAGGAAATATAAAGAGTTCTTAATTTGCCTGTCTGCTGGAGAGCAGAATGTGACTTGTAGATCAACAGAAACTGATCCAATACAAATGATTACTTTTCCTTTGCTTTGCCTTCTGGAATAGCAGTGGCTTATGTTAAATTATTCTTGGCTAGTATTCTTGTGCTGTAATTAAGTAGACCTTTTATTCAAAAAACAGCCTCACTGTTTTAACTGCATGTAGAATAAGAAACTGCCTACTTTAAATGTCTCGGAAAAACTTCAATTAAAAGTTTTTAATTTTTTTCTGGCACAAATATAGTCAGTCACCCTTTTCATGTTATCATGCTGGGAATAACTCTAAGAATACATTTGAGACTGCTTATTTATTTAAATGTTAAACTCTGCTTGCATAGATCCACTATTAGTAGTGTACCCACCAGCTATAGGACTAAAATCTTAGAGTGTTCATCAAGCATTTTTTTATTTCATTTTATGGAACACAATTTTTCTCCTTTATTCTTTAACCACAATGATGGGGGTCTGTGGGAAGATGGAAAACACAAACAATTTTTGATATTTTGATTTGAATGAAAAATATCAATATATCATAATTATCTTCCATCAGTGGGGTCTGGGCAATTACTGTTTAAAAGAAGGATCTAGAACTTAATCCATTCCTCCTCTGTACTTGTGAGAAACATTTGAATGGTATCCATCAGCTGTGCCAGCTTCAAGCTGCTACTCCTCGAATCCTCTTCCAAGGGTACTAGACATACTTTAGAAAAGATAGTTCCTTTTTTTAATTAAAAAAAGTAAAACTGAAATGATGGACACTTTCTCTTCTACCTTCTTCCCATCAAGGGTGATTTGTTAGATTGTAGCTACTGAATGATTTAAGTTTTTGTTTTTCCTTTTTTGTTGTGCAATAGGCCATACTGCATTTCTGTGTTGATGATGAATTGACCTCAGTTCTGGGTTATGGATGAACAAAATGAAATAGACTTTTCCAATAACAACATTACACCATTGTGGAAGAGAAGATCAGCGCATCGTGGGCATTTGCATACAAAGAACAAACATAGACCACAGTCCTATCAAAGTTCCACTGGGGTCCTCTTCACAGATTTTCCTGTGGAAGACAAAGATACATTCACTTTAATGCAGCGTGATGAAACAATTCCTTCTCCGGACAGCAACTCCATTCAAAGAGGTCCCTTGCTTTTGACCTGTAAAAGTGTACCAAATGGAAAGGTTCAGTTTCCAGAACATAGAATCTTATCTTCAACGCTTTCTGATCAGTCCCCACAAATCTTGAAAATGGTTTCAAATAATTCTATAAACTTTTCATCTACTGGTTGTATAGATTCAGCAAGCAGTAAATCAACTTACACAAGGAAGGCTTCTAATCAAGCATCACTTAGTCCTGAGAAGGAACATATTGTTTTCACATCAAGCCTTGGAGTGTTGCCACCTGAAGTTGTACATTCGCCAAATAATAACACAACCATTGCCTTAGCATTACAATCCAGTCAACTTCCTAAAAACCTTGAAAATGAACCTGTTCGCCTGCATGCTCCCTCAGACATTCTGCATTTGCCTCTGCAAAGAATACCATCAAATCAGAACGACCAATCAGATAGGTCATCTGTGACTCTGAGCACAAATAGTCTTGCTGCATTAAAAGTGGGGAAACAGCAGATCATCCCCAAGAGCTTAGCTTCTGAAACAAGAATAATTGGCAAAGCTAATGGTCAGAATTCAGAGCCAAACAGCAGGGTACTTAAGGTACGCAGCATGGTGGAGACTCTTGACGCACCTTTAGTAGCCAGTGAAGATGATGAAGCAGAAGGGGATGTGGAAAGCCCAGGGATGCTAAAGCGTAGCTTGAGGTCTACTTCATACCGACGAGCTGTTGTGAGTGGTATTGACTTTGATGGTATTGCCAATATTAAAATGAAAAGCAAACTGTCTCAGCCAGTGCTGAAGGCAGTCATAGAAGATAAAGAGAAATTCTCTAGTTTAGGAAGAATAAAGGTAAGTAAATAAGTGAAATTATTAAGAGTTCACAGTCATTGGTAGTACAGATGGTCTTATTTTGAACATTTGCTGTTTTAGTTTTTATGCTGCAAGATCAGGATAGTATTTTAACCCTAGATTAATAGGGAAAAATGGGAGAAATCTTACAGGTTTAAGGATGAGAAAGGAAATATTCATCGTAAATGAGTGTGATAATAGCTCCACCACCAAATGAATCTGCAAAATCTTCCTAAATAGACCCTTGCTATTATATGTAATATCCATTTAGGGGGGGAAACTTAATAGTTAATAGTTATTTTTCTTAAAATGTATGTATTTTAAGTCTTTTTACAATTCATCACCCACTTTTCATTATCTGTGATCATCCTTTATTTACTCTTAAGTGGGAAATTAATTGAAACTGCAATGCTGGAACATCACAGTGAGTTCTTTATTTCATCAAGTACTTTTAGTAGCTATCCAAAATTTTATCCCTATGACATTCATATTGGATGAGGTCTTGTGTCTGAGATGTTTCTCAGCTGTAGCACAAGCTCTGGATACAAATTCAATTTTCTTCTTTGTGTTCAGAACTTGGTTAGTGCGAAGTATTGTTCAGTGCAGAAACAAACTGTTGAGAACAGTAACTTTGCCCCTTTAGGTACTGTAACTCTTGTTAGAATCAGAGGCAAGCCTCACTTTTATCTCAGAAAAAAGTAGGTTCATTGATTTGCTTGATCTTTCTCCAGACTGGCAACCTAAAATGTTTATATGTATGAGAGTGAAATTACTTTTGATAAATTTCTATTCATATACTTAAGTTTATGACATTGATGTAAACATGATTGTTCCAGATTAGGTCAATATGCCCTGATGGAAGACTTGGGATTATACGTTTTTTTCTATTATATTTATGATGCTAATTATTTCCTGGTTGTAAATATCTCCATAACTTTGATGGAAATATTGCTTAGGCAATATTGCTTAGGCAACAATGCGCTTCAGTTATACTTCAAGATTAATCCACTTTATAGAGATTCTATTAATTTTATATAGGATAATCATGGAACTGGCAAACTGCCAGGATGCAAAGATGCAAGCTAATGAATTCATTCTTCATAAACTTTTTGTGCAGCTTACATGTCCCATATAGATTCCAGCGTGTGTATTTGGATGCATTATTTGGAGTTGGGTTTTTTCCCCAGATAATTGTATTAAGGGGATAGATATATCCTCAAATCAATTTTTCTGGCATCATTAATTTGTATTGGTCAAAAGAAACTGACAGAGTTGCTATCTCTTCATGTAGAACCTTTTGCATAAAGAAAAGTTAAATTTCCCAGAATTTAAAAGTCAAATAATTTGCTCAAAGGCAATATCTGTATAACTCAATTACAGAGTTCAACACATATACAATGTATAAGGTTGACTCAGCCTTCCATCCTTCCGAAGTTGGTAAGATGAAGACCCAGACCCAATATGTTGACTCTGTAAACCTCTTAGAGGGGTCTATAAAGCACTGTGAAGCGGTATATAAGTCTAAGTGCTATTGCTATTTGGCACAGGTTTTCTTACTAGATTTTACTGGAATTTTTGTATATAATTTTGCTAATCTTGTCTTTACTAAAAGCAACATGATTTTTTTTTATTTACAGTCCAGTCTTTGTTAGACACCAAGGTATAGCTGTCTAGCCGATATTTTTTTAAAGGTCATAATCTAACCCCCTGCTTGGGACTTCAAGAGATTTTATCCAGGAATGTATGCATTAAACTATTAAAAAAACATTTCTTTTTTAAAATTCCATTTTGGAATGTAGATATCGTCTGAGGAATGTTAAGGATTTTTTTTTTAGTATCACTGAGCCACTGTGTCGTTTGTTTAGTTTTAGCTTAATGTGTTATGAGCCCAGGCATTGTGTTTTTGTAAGTTACCTAGTTACTTGTGATTTAACTAACAGATCATGACTATCCTGTTCTTTTCATTTCAATTCTTCTATCATGTTGAAGCTGAATGAGGTAAATTGTGATGCAAGAGGTGTATCTGTCATTCCAGCCTTCGTCTGACCTCTGGTTTTGATCTGTTGGTTTTGATCTTTTATGTAACTCTGGGACCATGAAGAATCTGCTAGGTGGAGGTGGAATATGTCAGTCCTATTACATGTATCCAAATTTCAATCCAACTCCCTAAACCAGGGGTATCAAACTTGCAGCATTGCTTGACGTATTGCGACTTTTCCTCCCTTCACTAAAACAGGAGTGGGCATGGCCAGCATGTGACGCATCTGGCCCACAGGCCACGAGTTTGACAGCCCTGCCCTAGACTTATCAAATAATACAATATTTGAACTGTGAAGATATTATCTGTGATGGAATACATACAAAGTCTAAAAATGCTTTAAAAAACTTGAAAAATAGAAATCTGGATAAAATCTGGTGCAGAATAGTAATTTTCTATAGAACTAGAGAGTATTTTTGGGATAATTAGGAAAAAAAAGTCTGGCTTTCCTTTTTTAAACAAATGCTATTGACTTTAGGGGTTTAATAAAATCATTTACTGTATGCGTTTTATTATGCTTAACCACAGTGAATCATTTCATACTTTAACAAAGAATTTAAATTTTTTCTTCAGCCAAAACATTACTGAGATGCATGTTAAAAGTCTGTTATTTTTAATCATTCCTCTAATTTCAGCAGAGACAGTGATTGTAAGAATGGTTTTATTTTGTGAATGGGTTTGGAAAGTTCTGGTTCAGAATCAGAACTGTACCAAAGTTGTAGATCTCTTGGAAGGTGGCTACTATCCTAACTTACTAATGATTAAATATGTTACGGAAAACATTTGAAATTCATGTATTCTTATTCCTATTTTCACCAGTTTCCCCTTCTTCTTCTCTATTTTCTTTTTGAAATATTATAGAAGAAAATGCTAAAAGGACAAGGGACCTTTGACGGACAAGGTAAGAACTGCTTGGATATACTGTACTTATTTTTAATGATATATTGTATAAAGAAGTTTATACAAGAACCAAGTTAAGTTTTACTCTGCAAAGCAAAGTTTGGGTCAAAGGTGTAGATTCTTCTGTTTGTATTAACAGGGTGAGACAAAACCAAACCAAAGTCATTGCAGCAAATACAAAGTAGCATTATTGTTGCAATATCCAGTAGGGTTCTACCAATGATATGGATAGGAGAATAGCTGGACCAACTTTATAATGTATTCAAGTAGAGTAAAATAGGAGAAGAAAACTTCCTATTGCAAAGAATAGTTGCAATTCTGTCATATTGTATAGCATTGGTTATGTCTTATTTACAATGCTTCCCATTTGTCCGCATGGGTATTGTGAATTACTTTTGTTATCATTGTTACTTCTTGGCTATAATTTACATATTTTCATCACTTGTAGGCATCACTTTGATTTGTTTGTTGGTCATTTGCAATTCAGATGTCTGTGAATTTTTTAATTCATATTTTTTTCTTTTATATTGTTCAAGCAGTCTTGTCTTTGTTCATTAAATGCCTTATATTTCTTAATTTTTGAGACTGCTTCATTTTTGGCATATATATACATATATATATATATATATATACACACACACACACACACACACATATACACATACACATATACACATATACATATATATAAGATAAGATAAGATAAGATAAATTTATTGTCATTGTGCTCAGGAACCTGAGAACAACGAAATAAGGTGCTCTTTCGCAACATACAACTAAACAACACCAAAAGATATATACAAATAACAATATAAAACAAATTAAAAAAAATAATTTAAAAACATACATACATATACATACATACATACATATACATACATACATATATACATATATGTATGTATGTATCTATGTGTGTGTATATATATATACACATACATACATACATACATACATACATACATATATATGTTTTCTTAAGTTTTCACGAGTATTTATATGTATGGTATTCAGCTTTGTTTGGGTATTTTCCCACGTCATTATAGTTGTGCTTTTAAAGTTGTCACAACGTTTCGGCAGAATCTCATCTGCCATCATCAGGCTTCTGTATAGATGAACACAAAAATGCAGTAAAAAAGCTGGGACATACTTCCTCACTAGTCCAACACATGAAAGCCCCAGGTCATAGCATTGACTTCAATGGCACCAAAACCCTAGCCACTATAGAAAATCTCAGCTACAGAATTATCAGAGAAGCCATAGAGATTGATAAAAAGACCTGAAAGCATGAATAGAAGAGATGACTCCACCAGACTGTCAATTATCTGGAAGCCTGCACTCTCAAACAAAAAAAATCTCCACACCACAAGCCAGGCAAACACCTGGGCACAAACAGACTCCCCCTGATACCTCCAGCTCAAACACACCACAACCAGGCACCCAAAGGAAACCTAGCTTCCTAATAAATGATAGCTGTCCGTTTACTCTGAGCCAAGCCGCACTAAAAGCCTCCAATACGGGAAACACAATGTTGCCAGCCAATCAAGACAAAAAAAGCTACAAAACAGAGAGAAGATATTAGAAACACCAATCAAGCAGAACACAGCAAACTCCAAGACCAATAAACACAGACAAAGACTCCCAACCAATCAGGATGAAGAAAAAACCATTCTGGCTCAGCAGTAGGTTAGCACCAATTTTAAAACAGAAACGGCTGTGAAAGTCTGACTCACAGACGAACACAATACAGAAGCCTGATGATGGCAGATGAGATTCTGCCGAAACGTTGCTACAACTTTAATATATATAGATAGATAGATAGAGTATATATAGATATATATCTATCTATACATATATAGATAGATAGAGGGGGGGAATGCTTTATCCTGGTCTGTGATCATAATAAAGACTTGATTTCATCTACATATGCTGTTGGTTTAACATATTGCAATTTTTAATATTTTTTTACACTTTCAGTGGCATCCTCACACTTTGTTATTACCAGTGTAACTTATTTATATATCCTGTATTTTAGAAATCTTAGGCTTTTAGTCCAAATTGTAATTTGAACAGTTGAAAAATAACATGATAAATTGAAAGCAAGGGTCAGGTCCAATTAGTCTCCCCCCACTCCAAGAATATTAATAACAGGAAAGCAGACTTGATAGGATTGATCCCAGGTACATATACATACCGTGTTTCTCACAAAATAAGGCCAGGCCTTATTTTTTTTGGACCCCTGAAAAAACGGCTAGGCCATCTTTTCGGGGGTGACTTAATTCCCCCCCTTGCATCCTCGGGTGGGCGGGTGGCGATGGCTTGGATGTTGACCTTGGCGGGGTACTTCGTTTCGGGAGACCTTCCGCCACCATTGCTTTCCCTTCTCCCCGTGCTGCTGTTTGGCATAGCCACGCGCAGCCAGCCAGGGCTCCTCCCTGCAACTGGAGCCCGGCGGAGACACTTGGCTTCAGGCGCTCCTGTCGCCGCCTTCCCTTCGCCTTCGAAGGCAAAGTCAATTCTTTTAAAAATGGTGCCCTACTACCGGTACAACAAAGCCTCCCCTGCCCAAGAGGGCAGCCAAACCCCACGTAGGGAGGCAAATCTCCCAGGGCCGCAGTGCAGGATCGGCCCACCCCAGGAGAAGCACCCAGCTGCCATCCCTGCCTGGCACCGGGCAGAGTGTGAAGAGCTTCGCCTGTGGCACCCAAAGCAGCTGACAGGCAGGCCCTCCTGCCCGGCGGCGGAGCTCTCACCAAGGCAGCGAGCTACTCCCCATCGAGCCCTCCGCTCATCCTGCCAGGGCCGTGCCAGAGCGACGAAAGCAAGGCGTGGGTGTGCGACCACCTGCCAAGCAAAAGAGCCAGGCTGACCCAAGCTTGGCTTCCTTCCCAAGTCCCTCCAGCCCAAAGCCGAAGTGGCCACCGGGAGAGGCCGCTCGAGGCAGTGATAGCGCCTACCCATCCGTGGACAGAAAGGCAAGGCGACGGCCTGTGCCACGTCCTCTTCCGAGCTGAGCCCTGCCGAGTGAGCGCCTCTCCCTGATGCCCGTGCCACTGAAGCGTTTGGAGCTGCCGGCACATTTGGAGATGCATGGGGACGGGGACGGGCTGGGCGAGGGATGGAAAGGACGGGTGGCTTTGTGCTCTCTCTGCGGACCTGCCGGCTAGGAAAGCAGCGCTGCCTTCTCCTTGCCTCCCTGTCCGCGGATGGGTGGGCGCTATCATTGCCTCGGGCAGCCTCTCCCGGTGGCCCCTTCGGGTTCGGGCTGGAGGGACTTGGGAAGGAAGCCAAGCTCGGGTCGGCCCAGCTCTTTCGCTTGGCAGGCAGGCGCGTACCCGCAGCTCGCTTTCCCAGCTCTGCCAGCCCGCACGGCTCCGGCACAGCACTGGCAGGATGTGCAGAGGGCCTGGCAGGGAGGCGCTCGCTGCCTTGGCGAGAGCTCTGCCACCGGAAGGAAGGCCCACCTGTCAGCTGCGCTGGGCGCCCCAGGCAAAGCTCTTCATGCTCTGCCCAGCGCCAGGTAGGGATGGCAGCTAGGCGCTTCTCCTGGGGTGGGCCAATCCTGTGCTGCGGCTCCGGGAGATTCACCTCCCCATGTAGAGTTGGGCTGCCCTCTCGGGCAGGGGAGGCTTTGTCGTACCGGTAGTAGGGCGTCATTTTTAAAAGAATTGGCTTTGCCTTCAAAGGCGAAGGGAAGGCAGCGACAGGAGCGCCTGAAACCGAGTGTCACCGCCAGGCTCCGGTTGCAGGGAGGAGCCTTGGCTGGTCGCGCGTGGCTGCACCAAATGCCGGCAGCACAGGGAGAAGGGAAAGCAATGGTGGCAGAAGGTCTCCCGATACGAAGTGCCCCACCAACGCCGAAGTCAACGCAGGCAGCACCATATCCGGGTGTGCAACAAAAGTACTTCCTAACAGCAAGCCCCCCCGCCATTCCCCCCCCATTTCACATGTTTAATATAGGCCTTAATTTGGGGGGGAGGGGCTTAATTTGATTTTATTCCTATAAAACATGCTGGGACTTCCTGTTGGGGGAGGCCGTATTGTTGGAGAAACACGGTAGAACTAATTTTTATAGATTTCAGTAAGCAATCATAAGATTCACATCTAGGAAGAATTGAAACATGGTTTCAGCCTACTTTCACAAAGTAATCGTATTGTTGACTTCTTAATTCTCTTAACTGATTATGTGTGTATTTTTGAACTGCATTAATTATTTGTCATTTATCTGGAATGTAAAGAACTTACATTTAACTGAAATAGGACTCTCTGGGATTTCTGATCGAAACTTCAGATACTTAGATCAAGTCTATTTTTATACTAACAATATCCGGTTCTACTGTGGCTTTACAATATTTTGCTCATATATTACCAATTTCTTGAATTGTTAACTTAATATGCATTTGGTATTTAAAAAGTAAAAGAAATCTAAACATCAGTTCAGGTATAATTTATGAAACATGATAAAGTATGGAGTGATTTGGTTGACATTTTAATAGGCATGAGAACATCCCCCCCCAAATATTTAGTACTAAACTCTAAGATTTTGCTATATACACTTTAGCTCTGCATTTTCAATTGCAAGCTAATTGATTGTTTAAAATTTCAAATGATTTTATACCTTGCTTACAGTACATACCTTGCTGACAAGATAAACCAGCCAACTTTCATAAGAACCCTTTGTATTCAGTCGTCCACAGGATGGGGGGGCGGGAGGGATAAAATAGATTCTCTCTTCTTTTTCCTTCCTGAATTTGGCTGACCTGATGTTCCTGTCATTTATAATATGCTTGCCCAGTGTCTGTTCTGAACAAGACTAGCTGTCTAAGAGAAAATTATTATAATTATATGGTCTAGAAGCATCTCAAATCATTTTCCTTTTTTGTTATTGCAGAAAATGCAGTGTTGTATCAGAATTATAAAGAAAAAGCTTTGGATATAGATTCCGATGAAGACGTAGAATCAAAAGAACAAAAGTCAGATGAAAAAATAGTTATTCAATACAAACCTCTAAGATCAACATGGAGTCAACTGTCTGCAGTAAGTGTCGTAATATTAGTAAGTGCTTCAAAGTTCAAATTGTAAATTAGTGATGTTTATAAGCAAGGTTTTTATCGGTCAATGTGAATTTTTACAGCCTTATTTACCCTCAATTACCTCCCAAAGCAAAATGTTTATGAACATGCAGATACTATTCAATAGTTGTAATTGGCAAGGAGGTGGCTGCTACATCTGCATTCCTCTCTTTGATTCATGGTTTTTAAACCAATCAAACTCTAACTGGGCGAAGACTTCAGGAAACAATTAGAAACAAACTATTTTATGGAAAAGAAAACCTTTGATTCATTCTTAATAAAATAACCATATGGAGCAGGGTCAGGATGATTCCTTCTTTCTTACCACTTAGGAAACCAGAAAAATCTGGGTCTTTCCACAGAGCTTTTGGAAGATCTTCACATGTGGTTGACTGAAAATATGGCTATTTAATTGTCCAATTAGCTATTTAATATTTAATAAATATTAAATAAAATATTTAATAAAATTAGCTATTTAATTGCCCAATAATTAATTGGATAGGTTTTATTTGTCTTGTCTACAAGCTCCACAGAATTCATGGAATAAGCAGTACATCAATACATAGAGAATGAAAATATAAAACATGAAGAAAGAGCAACTGAACAATGTTCTTTTACTCTAAATGCTAGGGCAAGCAA